AAATATAAATTTTCAAATAGGTTTTTTATATACAGGGTGTCTAAAAAATTGCGTTGAAACTCGAACGGTCCAGAGGCTCCTATATATTATTTCAGTTTATTGATTGTAATATTTTTATGAAAAATCTTATATCGTAGTAATCACATGCTTTTTGCAAAGGTATATACCGAATGTTTCATAAAAATGTCACAGGTGAACTTTGATTTCACTTATCTTTTCACTTTTCCTAATTTTTTTTAAATCTTTTCATGAAAAGTTATATAGTTACTAACCAAAAGGTTTTTTTGAAAATCCATATACTGCATGTTCTACATAACTGACCCAAGTCAAAATTATCGGTCTAGAGGCTTCTGTATATTTCAAAAATTTATTGTCGCAATATTTTTATGAAAAATCTTATATTGTAGAGCATTTTGCAAATGTATATACCAGTGTTCCATAAAAATGACGGGCGGACTAGGATTTTTTTCTCATTTCACTACCTACCTAAATTTTCAAATAGATATTTCTACACACGGTGTCAAATGTTTTTTGCAATTTATGTACAGGATGTTTCATAAAACTGACACAGATGGACCAGATTTTCTCTTTTGAAGAAAAGTTGTATATTTACTGACCAGCCGCTTTTTAGAAAATCCATATATGTACTGGGTGTTCCATAAAATTGATCCACATCTGAAACGGTCAATTTTTATCCTTTTCACTTTTAACTTTGTCTTTATTTACTAAAGTCTTTTAATGAAAAATTGTATACTTATTAACCAGTTGTCTTTTGAATTTTTATACTGAGTGTTCCACAATACTGATGCAGATTAAAATTACCAATAGAACGAAACTTTCCTTAATGTTTTTTCCTTTTCTATATTTTGTACTGAAGTCTGCAATATTTTTATGAAAAACCTTATACCCGACTAACCAGGCGTTTCTTGCGATTTATGTACAGGATGTTCCATGAAACTGACACAGGTGTACCAGATTTTCCCTTATTCATTTTGTAAATTTTTTCTTTAAATCTTTTGAAGAAAAGTCGCTTTTTTAAAAATCCATATACTAGATGTTCTATAGAATTAAGGGCAGTTTTATTTCTTTTCACTTTTAGCTTTGTCTTTATTTACTACAGTCTTTTAATGAAAATTTATATATTTGTCAAGCAGATGTCTTAATTTATTTTTTTACCATTTCTGCCTTACCTACATAGTCTTTGGATGAAAAATTTTATATTTACTAACCAGATGCCTTTTTGGAAGTTTGGAAGAAACTTTTCTTATTCTTTTCTCGACCGGGGCCTACTTTTTTTTAAAAAACATTCTCCTCATACTTTTATATACAGGGTGTTTAAAAATTAAAGTACAGGGTGTTTAAATGTTATATCTACTAACCAGCGAGGAAAGCACCGTGAAGCGGTGCTCGGGTCGCGCTGCGCGCTGCCCGAGGGCCGAAGGCCCGAGGGAAAGGTTGCGCGTCTTTCTAGTTCTATTCTATATTTTTAAAATCTGCAATCTCCTCTCGTTCCCACGCTGGGCCGCGAGAAGGGGCCTTTTGCATGTGCAAAGGCTTTCCACGCGAGCCGCGAAGCGGCGACGTCCAGGGGGCGAAGCCCCGCGTGATCGTTCCCGCGTCCGTTAACGGACCCGTTTAACGTTTTTCCCGCGTTTTCCCAGGTAAAATTTGGTTTTCCCGGGGCACCTCGACTAGGCGCGGAGCGGAACAGAGACGCAACTTGTCGGAAACGCCCACCGTCCGATACCGAAAATTGCCCTCCGGAATTTCACTCTTCTAGACGTTTTTCGGGGCGTAGGAGTCGTTATTTTCACGTCCGAGACCGATTTCCGTCCCTCGCGATCAATATCGCGGCGAAAAAACGGAATTTGAACGTTTCAAAATTTTCTTCGAGTTCGAGCCGATGCGGACCGTTAAATAACTTATACAAGGACATCCCACCGTGTGTCTAGGATAGCTCGAGGGACTGGACGACGGCCGTCCATCCACAGGACCTCGGTTCGAATCATGAAGCGGTTGGAGCTTTTTTATTTTTTATTCTCCCTATTTTCTACTTATTTATTTAAATATTATGTAGGAATATGTTTTATTTGCTTACCATATGGATTTTTCAAAGTTTTTATTTACAATGCTTAATGAAATTAACACGGAATCGAAATGAGGCCGCTTTTTACTTTACTTTAAAATCTGCAATCTCGTCTCGCTCCCACACTCGACCGCGAAAACGGCGATTTGCCGGACTTAAAGGGTCTTTTCGCGAGCCGCGAAGCGGGCGGCGAAGGACGCGAAGCGCCCTTCGTTTCTTTCTTTATCCAAACGTCATATTTTGAAAACGATTTCTTAACGTATTCTAAGTGAAATTTTTCTTTTGCGGGACGGCTGCCGGCGATTTTTCGCGCGGAACAGAGATGCAACGTGTCGGCAGACGGCAACGCCCATCGACGGAAACATGACAATCGCGATTGATGTCAGATTGAAACGTCAGAATAAATTTCACACAAAAGCTAAACACGTTCGTAGGGTCGCGGATTGTTGTTATTTCATCTTTCTAGGCCTCTTTTAAATTTTAATACATAGCTACCCTATACAGGTATTTATTTATCATTACGTTTTTATTTACATTTTTTATTAGCTCTACCACTACATACGTGGTATACCCGCTGAATTTCTCTCGATTTGCTGTTAAGTACCCACTAAGAGTTATATATTTCTTTCTAATTTTCAAGAAAACAGCATTACGTAAATCCCTTCACCTTTGTATTAGTACATTTGCTTCATTAATTACTATATTACATTCGTATTATTCCACAAACGTCAAAAGTTGCGAATTATTGAAATAAATTGGAGCTAAAGACTCCCAGGTCGTGGAATGTTATTTATCTGTTTTATACTATTCTGGATCTTTCACGGACGATTTTGTGGCAGAATACAGATACAGACGACAAGTTTCACATAAAGACGTTAGTGCAGCGGTGAAAATGGGATATCCTAATATTTATTTCTTACATATTGCCGCAATTTAATTTTATATACGGATTTATCTTTTTAAACCTTTTCATAAAGAATAAATATATTTTTTCAAAAACTTTTTTCTACAGTGTCTAAAAAAAAATGCGTTGAAGCTCGAACGATCAGGAGTGTTATGCATATTTCAAAAGTTTATTGATTCCAATATATTTATGACAAATCATATCTTATTAACCAGATGTTTTGTACTGAATGTTTCATAATTAGCTGGCACAGGTGGACTAGGCTTTTCTATTCATTTTACTTTTTTTACTTTCTCTACTGAAATATTTTGAAGAAAACTGACCATTCGCTTTTTGAAAATCCATATACTGAATGTTTCACAAAATTGAGCCTGATTAACAGGCAAAATTTTCCTTTCTCTTTCAACTTTATTTTTACTTACTGAAAGCTTTTAATGAAAAATTGGATGTTCCAAAAAATGATCCACTTAAAAATTAGGAGACAGTGAAACTTTACTTATTTTTCCCCATTTCTGCCTTACCTACGTACTGAGGTCTTTGAATGAAAAATTGCATATTTACTAAGCAGATGTCTTTTTGGAAGTTTATACTGGATGTTCCAAAAAATCATCCACTGAAAAATTAGGAGACAGTGAAACTTAACGTATTTTTTCCCCATTTCTACCTTACCTACGTACTGAATAAAAAATTGTATATTTACTAACAAAATACCTTTTTGGAAGTTTATACTGGATGTTCCAAAAAATGACCCACTGAAAAATTAGGAGACAGTGAAACTTAACTTATTTTTTCCCATTTCTGCCTTACCTACGTACTGAAGTCTTTGAATAAAAAATTTTATATTTACTAACCAGATGTCCTTCTGCAAGTTTATACTGGATGTTTCAAAAAATGATCCACTTAACAATTAGGAGTGAAAATTAACTTATTTTTTTCCTATATCTGCTTTACCTACGTAGGTACTTAAGTCATTGAATGAAAAATTGTATATTTACTGTATGTTCTACAAAATTATCCACTTCAGAATTAGAAGAGTGAAACTTAACTTACTTACCTTCTTCTTCTTCTGCCTTACCTACGTACTGAAATCTTTGTATGAAAACTGTATGTTCTACAAGATTATCCACTTCAGAATTAGGAGACTGAAACTTAACTTATTTTTTCCCCATTTCTGACTTACCTACGTACTGAAGTCTTTGGATGAAAAATTTTATATTTACTAACTAGATACCCTTTTGGAAGTTTATGCTGGATGTACAAAATGATCTACATCAGAATTGAATCCAAAACAAAAAGGCGGCAAACCAGATATTTTTTTAACCTTTTTACTTTTTTCTACTCTCTGGTAAAGTTCATTGATGAAAAATTTTACGTTTACCAACACAATTCTTTTTTGATAATTTTTATACCGAATGTTCCAACAAAACTGATCCAGGTTGCAGGTGTTCAAACGTATTCATATTCTTTTTATTTCATTCTACTTTATTTTTTTGAGGTTTGTGATGAATAATTTTATAATATGTTTTTTGAAGCTTTACACTATACTGTATGTTCTATAAAATTGATCCAAGACAGACCCCATGGATTATTCCTTATCATATTTATTTCTTCTACTTTATTTAGTAAAGCCTATTCATGAAAAAATTTTGATTTACTAACTAGATGCCATTTTAAAACTTTCTACACATAATGTTTCACAAAATCGACCCACATTTGAATGGTGATAGTAATGTAGATGGTGGTGATGTAGATGTAAATAATGATAATGTAGATGATGGCGATGTAGACGATGGTGATGTAAATGATGGTGTGTAGATGATGGTGACATAGATGATGGTGGCGTGGATAATGGCAATGTAGATGATGGGATGTAGATTGATGGTGGTGTAGATGATGGAGATATAGATGTTGCTGTAGCAGGTGATGGTAATGTAGATAATGACGATGTAAATGATGGTCATGTAGATGATGGTGATGTAGATTATGGTGATGTGGATGATGGCGATGTAGATGGTGGTGATGATGGTGATGTATGATGGTGATGAAGATGATGCCGATGTAGGTGATGATGATGGTGATGATGATGAAGGCGATGTAGATGATGGTTATGTAAGCCATGGCGATGTAGATGTAGATGATGTAGATAATGGTGCTGTTGATAATGGCGATGTAGATGATGGCGATGTAGATTATGGTGGTATAGATGATGGTAGTGTAGATGTAGATGATCTAGATGATGGCGATATAGATGTAGATGATGGCGCTGTAAATTATGGTGATGTAGATGATGACGCTATAGATGATAGCGATGTAGATGATATTGGTGTAGATGATGGCGCTGTAGATTATGGTGATGTAGATGATGGTGATATAGATTATGGCGATGTAGATGATGTAGATGTAGATGATGGTGATGTAGATTATGGTGATGTAGATGATAACGATGTAGATGATAGCAATTTAGATGATGACGATGTAGATGATGACTATGTAAATGATGGTAATGTAGATGACGGTGATGTAGATGATAGTGCTGCAATTATGGTGATGTAGATGTTAGCTATGTAGATGATAGCGATGTAGATGATGGCGATGCAGACGATGGTGATGTAGATGATGGTGCTGTAGATGATGGTGATGTAGATGATGGTGATGTAGATCATGGTGATGTAGATGATGTAGATGATGGCGATATAGATGTAGATAATGGTGTTGTAGATTATGGTGATGTAGATAATGGTGATGTAGATGATAGTGATGTAGATCATGGCGATGTAGATGATAGTGATGTAGATGATGGCGATGTAGATGCAGATGATGGTGATGTAGATGATGGCGATATAGATAACAGCGATGTAGATTATGGTGATGTTGATGATAGTTATATGGATGATGGTGATGTAGATGATAGCGATGTAGATGATGACGATGTAAATGATGGTAATGTAGATGACGGTGCTGTAGATGATGGTGCTGCAATTATGGTGATGTAGATGATAGCAATGAAGATGATAGCGATGTAGATGATGGCGATGTAGATGATGGTGATGTAGATGATAGTGCTCGAGATTATAGTGCTGAAGATTATGGTGATGTAGATGATGTAGATGATAGTGCTGTAGATGATGGTGATGTAGATGATGGTGATGATGATTTAAAAAACATTGGCGCAAGACAGGGCTCTGCGAAGCGGAGCTCATGCTCGCTCACACAGCCGCCCCGACTTCCATTGACGAAGGCGAGCCTCGGGTCGCGAAGCGACCCCCGGTCCTCTCTCCGTCGTTTAGGGGTGTTTCGGTGCGGGCTTTTCCGCGTTTAACTTAACATATAGACAGGTAAATAACACTGTAAACTTTAACATAACCTTTACCCATTCATTAAAAATAATAACCTCTACCAAGATTACATTGCAGTACAAATCTGCGAGATTCCTAAACTTGAAGATCTATCTCCACTTTTTCGATCACTGACGATCGTCGCATCGTCCCTATCACTCCTGTCATCTGTCAAGTAAAATAAACCTTTACATTGAGAAAAGCCACTTCCAAGTTTACTCAGAAGGGCCTGGGGGCGTCTTACAAAATCCCTTTCTACAGGTATAGTATGTGTATTTTTTTACCCGGCCGTTGGTAGAATCTAACATGAATTTTAGTTTTCCAGTTGAAACTTGGCTGTAGACGAACGTAAATATAGTGCACAGTGTGGAAGTTTTGTTTAGTTGGTTTATAAGAATCCACCACTACATTCCTACACTCTTGCTGTTTTAACGAGGACCCCTGGAAAACCAGTTAATAAAGAACGATTTAAATAAAACATCTTTGTTGGTCTTTAACTATACGTTACATATACTATACAATGTGGCATTATGCTGTAACGAAGTGATTTTCCGACACCCCACATTTGTTTTCTCTTCATTAAATTCTATTAATAAATATAATTTACCGCACCGGCATTGTTATTGGCATTTCCAACGCCGTCCGTCACCGCACAGCGTCAAGCCGATGGACTGAAAATTCACACCGCGTACGCCAGTCTTCGACCTGCCAGCGTAGGGAACAGTCGTGCCGAGCTTCAGCCTGCCGTCCAGCCAGCAATACGTCACCGCCTGAGTAAGAATTTTACAAGTCCCGCTTAGGCGAACTACGCAGCCGCTACCGAAACATCGCCAGGGCTTAGGAATTAAGCCCCCGTCAGAGAAACAGTTCACCACGAGGCATCGTAGAGTCCAGTCGAGCCGTCAGCCGTTCCAAGTAAGACCTACGTCACCAGTAAGAAATTGGTAAGAATTTCACTAAGTCCTGCCTGAGGAAAACTGCGCAGCCGCCAGGATCCGCCGTACGACTACAGCAAACAAGCTGCCGTCTGAGATTCAGTTCCTCACGAGCCACCGAAGCGACCAGTCGAGCCTGAGAACAACTCCAGTAAGCCGAGACGTCACCGCGGGAAGTAGGTAAAATTTTACAAGTCCAGCCTGGCAGCATTGCGCAGCCGCCCGTTGCCAGACAAGGAACTTAGGAAAGAAGCTGAATTTGGAAATTCAGTTCCCTGCTAGCCGCCGTCGCAACCAGTCGAGCCGTTCCAGCACCAACTACGTCAACAATAGCAATTGGTGAGATTCTGCTAAGTCCAGCCTGGCAGAACCGCGCAGCCGCCAGAAACCAGTCCATCTCCTGTCATCACCAGAGGCCGTCCAATCCGACCATCAAGGAAGTAAGTTAGGTTCCGCGCATCTTCAACGCGCAAGTCTCTTGAGGTGACAAGAGACCTGGCGAGGTATTTGCACTGCAGAATTAGTTCCGTTCTACCGCTCCTACAGTACAGACGTGTCGAGGGAAGGAAGTAAGTTAAAGGTTTAGGGAATATAGGTAAAAGACTTGGCTACTGTCCGTTTGTACTAATCATACTTTGTATTTCCAGATATCCGTCCGTACGACTCCGTGGTTGGGTGCACTGTTGCAATTATCCGGTGTACTTAGCCCCGCTGCGCGTTCAGGTCATAGGGTGTTGCTTCCCCCCCCCTATCCGCTCTATGAGTCGAAACGCAGGTCGTCATTAACCATACTGTTCTTCGTCCGTCCGACTCCGTGGTTGGGTGCACTGTTGCCATTATCCGGTGTACTTGACCCCGCTGCGCGTTCAGGTCATAGGGTGTTTCTCCCCCCCCTATCCGCTCTATGAGTTGAAACGCAGGTCGGCGCTAATCAATTTTGTCTGTTTCAGCCTGCCAGCCACATACCAGTGCCAAGGAAACCTATTATTCTTAAACTGTATTTCTGTTTATTTTAGAGATAGTAGCCAAGCCTTTACTGTATATATAGCTTTTAGCTCTTGCTAGCTTTGTTGATTCCTCACCCCGCCCCCTGGTATCTGCACGCCGTCATATTCACGCTTGTTTTACTAGTGCCGCTAATTCTGTATGCATTGCTTTTGTTAGGTCACCGTTTAACACCGCACCGTTATTTCACCATTCTTCGTAGTAACTCCTGTATATAACCATAGTCATTTGCCACCGTTTAGCAATAGATGTAGAGTAACATAGTGTAAATAGGTAGAATTGGACTAAATAAATGTAAATATATACCAACTGTGTGACTTTTATTCCTGTGTGAAGTCTAACTCTCTCTCGACCCTCTGGGCATACCGTGTCTTCACTGCAGCCGCCCGCGTAGTGGTGTTTCTGCACTTTAAACAGAAACTGGCGCCCGAGGAAATTACCGTGGCTTAGGCGTCATAGTGACGAACGACGAAAATACCAACCAAGCACGTCACAAATTTGGCGCCCGAGCAGGAACCTAAAAGAGAGAGTTAGTGAAGATTTGGAGAATCCGACCGTTTCCGAACCGTTCCGAACCCCGCCGAAGACGTCAGAAGCCATCTGACAACGCGCCAGGAAATTGGCGATCGAAGCGAGGTTTCAAGAGTGCTAGGACACGAGAAGGTTGCACTTTCGACCAGAAAATCCGAACTCCGCCCGAACTTTTCCGAAAGTGCCCGAAGGAACCCGATCCGAACATATCCGTGTGGGGTATCGTTGTCATGGTAATTCGACCCCAGGAATCGATTGGTCCCACTGGCAGTTGAATCCGACCAGCCGTTCCGAAGATAGATCTGCCGTAGCGAAGTGGGAAGCCGAAACCAAGAAAAACCAGAAGCAGCAAGCCGTTAGAACCCCAAGACATCGTCCAGACCGTTTTTTACCGCCTTACCGGATTTTGCCCGGAGCTCTTGGCGACTCCGGTCGAAATTTTTACAAGGCGTGTGACCCCTCGTGGAATAGGAACTTGGGGACGTAGAATCGAGTGCCGTTGATTTCATCCCGATCCGACGAACCGTTCTGGAAAACCGTTTACCAAACTCACAAATCTGACTGAAATTTGGTGAAATCTGCCTTCGGCGATCCCTGGCATTCCGGTCGACCATATATTAGAGACCAAACCCGCCACGCCGGATTTTACCCGGAATTTCGGAAAATCCGGTGTCAACCCGTACCTGGCTTGTGACCCCTCCTTTGGCAGTAAGTCGAAGGCGCAGATCTAACGCTGATAGTTTCAGACCGAACCGCTGAAACATTGAAGAGATAGCACCTGGGGAGTTGGTTCTGAGACCGCAGACCGAGCAGACGTGCAACTGGAGAGCTCCGCAGCCATCACCGTACCAAGACCAGAAGCAGGCATGATGTTCAGCGAAGAAACCCGAATCTTGTCCGACCCCGAACCAGCCGTAGAAGCCGGAAGCTCCGTCTTGACAGATTTCCGACTGAGCTGGATATATAAGCTCAGAAAGGAACAACTAGACATGGAACTGGAGAAATTCCGCCTAGACATCTCCGGAACCGTGGAAGAAAAGAAGAAAAGACTGGTGAGGTTCATTAAGGACGGCTGTGCTTCACCGCAACCAAGGCACGCCGCCCCCGCTTTCATACCACCGCCACCGCCGCTTGTCGTGCCGACCACAGCAAGTGGACCGCTGGTCAGCAACCCTTCTGCCCCGCTCGGCATTAGTACAGTATGCGAAAGAGTAAGGAAGTGGGACCTGCACTTCAACGGAAGGACCGATCCCGTGGAGTTCTTGGAGAAGCTCTGGGAATTCCAGGAACACAGCGACATACCAACGTCAGCCATCTTACCCGCCTTGTATGAAATCTTTCAAGGCAACGCTTTAGCCTGGTACCGGAACAACCGCGACTTATGGAACAGTTGGGACGATTTTATTGGCGACTTCAAACAATTTTACCTGCCGGCCAATTATGAATCGTTCCTGGAAGAACAAATATTTCAGCACCGCCAGAAAGTAGGGGTGTCAGGCCGAGACTACATAGTCTCCTTACAGACTGTGCTACGCCTACATGGAGGATTCTCGTCTGACCGAGCCCTGCAACGACTGTATGGAAATTTGCTTCCTGAATACCGACAGTATATCCGCCAAAGCGAGATCCAGAGTCCTCGTGACCTGATTCGTCAAGTGGAAGAATACGAAGCTCTGCAGAGATCGCGGCTAACCGACCTACCAAACCAACCGCGCCATCTCCGCCTAACTTCGTCCGCAACCAGGCA